GTGTGTGTGTGTGTGTGTGTGTGTGTGTGTGTGTGTGTGTGTGTGTGTGTGTGTGTGGTGGGAAACAGTGAGTGGTACAATTTGAAGCATAGGGTACAGTATTAAGTCTCAGGGTCATAGATTCAGAGCTTGAAAGGGATTTAGACATCATCTAGTCTGACCCCTTCGTTTTACTGATGAGGAAACTGAGGCCCAGAGAGGCTAAGTAAGTTGTCCAAGGCCATACAGGTAGTTAACAGTAGCTCACCATCATATGACTTCAAGGTTAGGTGGTACCAGCATGAGGAGAGCCTTGAATGCCAAACAAAAAATGGACTCATTAGTTAATTGGAGTCCACTGAAGGATTTTGAACAGAGAGGGATGATTTGGAGTGGAGTAGAGGCAGGAAGTAGGAGACTATTGCAGTGCTCTGGACACAAGGCCTGTAATAGGATGGGGACAGTGGGAAGAGGGAAGAGGGGATGATTGAAAGAAATCTTTTGGCTATAGCACTGACAGGATCCAGCAAGTAGCTGTATTTGCTAAGGAAGAGATGAGTAGAAAGGGTCAGGCCAGAGATAGAGCTTAAGGTTTCAAACACGAGAGACTAAGTGAGTGATAGTGTCCTAAGGAGAGAAATAATGAAGCCAGAAAGAGGAGCAGGTTTTAGTGGGAAAGGGGACCAGTCTTGTGTACCCACCTATCTTTACATCGTCTTTGGTGTCAGGGGACGTGTTGGGGGAGGAGTCTATCCTGGGGAGCCATGACCCAGCCCCCCAGAAGTGGGCATACGAGAGACCCTAAACGCAGGGCCAGCCTCACGTAGCTGGAGTGGTATGATTTCAGGGAGCTGGCAAGGTCTTTCCCAGCCTCCAGATTCACTTAACAGGAATAGAACTTTTCACTGCACGCTCAGAGATGAAGATTAAAATGCCCATCTTTCTGAGAGAAGAAGGGCTGTGATGTTTTAAATTCACACTAAAGTGGAAACAACTGATAACAGGTTCTTTATTGAGGGCAGAGTTTTCTGAGAGCAGGGGAAGGGTGGAAGAGAGGAGAACCATGAAATTGTGGGCATCTCCAGGGCTGGTTGGACCAGGAGCCAGGAGCATCTTACTGGCCCCCAACCTTGTCCAATCTTCTCCCTTCATCAGGTAGTCCCAGCTGGTCTCAGTGGCTATTGCCCACTTTGTTTTTCTGGATGCTTAATCTGTTGGTGGTCGTGGCGGCCTTCATCCGCCTCTTCATCTATGGCGAGCCCATCACCAGGCCCCACTCTGGACCCTCGGTCTTGTTTTGGAGACACCGCAAGCAGGCTGATTTGGATCTGGCCCGGGTAAGAGAGTGGGCCTGGGGGAGGTGGGCAAGTTGAGGCTGGAGCGGGGAGGGAAGCATTGGAGAGTGCTGGAGATTAAGTTAGCCTTGGTTGACCTTCCTTGAACTCCTGACCTCCAATTGGGGGGGTGTGTGTGGAGGGGGAGTGGTCAACTGGGGTTAGGAGAATGATCATCCAGATCTTTAAACTGTCTTTTTCCCATAGTCTTTTATAAGTCTTCTTGCTCCTTGACCTGTCTGAGCATTTGACCCTGGTGACTACTTCTGAATATTCTCTTCTTCCTTGGTTTCCTTAACATTATTTTCTGCTAGACCTCTCCCTCTCTATTGGATCGCTCTTTCTCAGGCTCCTCATGGTTCTGTCAATCAGCAAGCATTTATTAAGCACTTACGAGGAGTCAGAAACTGTGCTGAGCACTGGAGGATCAAAGAAATAAAACAAGCCAATGATGGTTCCTGCCCTGGGCAGCTCTCCTTCTAATGGGAGACAGAGATGCAAACAACTAGGTGCATACTAGATGTACAGTTCTCTCTTCCACATTGCAGGGGTTAGGGGCGTGACACCCTTCTGATCTGGGAAATCTGAGTAAAATTTTTTGGTTCTACCTTCTTACCACAGAAGAAGTCTGAATCTTATTCTTTCATGCGGGTGTTTACAGTACTTTATTGTAAAATTTGGGTTGATATTATATAATGCTATACATATATTTTATGCATTTATGAATTTCTAAACTTTTTCCATGTTGTTTGCAGCTTCTGCAAAACTCCCCCCAAATTCCTATTTAATTTCTTACGCCGGCGTGTGATATGTTGAAACCCCAATAGGGAAAGTTGAGATGTGGAAAGGATAACCATCCACGTCAATGAAGGGATGAAGGGAGGTGGTGGGGGCAGCCCAAGACTGGAAAGATAGGCAAAGGGCTTTAAACTCCAAAAAGAGAGTAGGGGTGACAGGGAATCATTGTCATTTAATAAGTAGGAGTCAGAATGATCAGACTTGAACTTCAGGAAAGTGACTTTGGCAGTGGAGCGGAGGATGGTTTGAAGTGAGAAGAGAGACGAAGGAAGGAGACCACTTAATTCATGTGGGAGTAGATGAGGTCCTTTACTAGAGGGTGGCTATGTGAATGGAGAGGAGGGAGCTGGAGAGGAGGGGTGTTGTCGAGGGGTGATAGATGGCGTTGAAAAGTCAAAGGTGACGTTGAGGTTGCAAGCCTTAGTGACTGGGAAGATGGCGGCATCCTCAACAGTAATAGGAAAGGACTTAGGAGTTCAGGACAGAAACTAAATCTGGGTCTGGGAATCATAACTATAGAGATGATCATCGAGCTCATGGAAGCTGATGAGATTCGTCAGTGAGGTACTATGGACTCTATTTTTTTAAAATTGTATTTAAAAATGTAAAAACCATTCTTAGCTTGGGGACCGTACGAAAACAGGTGGAGGGCCAGATGTGGCCGTTGGGCCATGGTTTGCTGATGTCTGGTACAGATGAAGAAGAGAATCGAGTCCAGGACTGACACTTGGGGGAAACCCAGAGTTCTGTCCTCCATGTTTCTTCCCCAAGTGCTCCAGAACACTATTCTCAATGTTCTCTCCATCTCTCTTTGTCTCTCCTCTCTCTTTCTCTCTCTTTCTCTGTCTCCCCTCTCTCTTCTCTAATCTCCCCCAGATTCAGCTATGAAAATGGCTATCAAATCTACATAAGCAATTCTCATCTAGACAACTAAGTGGCACAGTGAATGCAGTGTTGGGTTTGGAGTCAGGAAAGGCCTGAGTTCAAATCCCATTTGAGGCCTTTACTAGCTGTGTGGGGCTAGCCAAGTCTAAAGTCTCTTCCGGTATGGTGATCCATACCTTGAGCTCTAATCTCTCTTTTGCAGTGACCTGCTGAACAGCTTGACCCGGATATCCCACAGCCGTCCCAATCTCAGCTTCCCCCCAAACCTACTCCGCCTTCTAAATTGCTGCCGTTATTCTGGTCCCTTACGTTCACAACCTAGGAGCATCCTCAATTCTTCACTTCCTCATATTCCTCATTGGTAATTCGTTGCCAGATCTTGTCAGCTATCCCATCTGAATATCTTTTCCCTCTCTCCATTTCACTTACACCCTCACCCCCTATTCCAAGCCCTCCTCACCTCTTGCCTGAACTATTGTAATGCCTTTTAGATGGAATCCCTGTGCAGTCTGCAGAGGTGACAGTCTGATCTGTGGTTCAGAAATATGTAAGTCTGGTTACGTGTCACTGTCTGACCCAGCTAAGCTGCCCCGCTTACTCATTCCAACATAAACACTTCAATCTCTGGCTTCCACACCTTTGCACATGCTGTATCCCTTGCCTAGAATGCTGTCCCGATTTTACCTCTGCCCTCTTCCTACGCCTAGCTTCCCTCAAGACTCAGCTCAAATGCCACCTCTTTCAAGAGGTCTTTCCTGATTCCCCTGTCCTCTCTTTCCCTGACATGATCATTTTGTATATATTTGGTATGTAACCTATTTTTACTTATCCTGAATATTTAGAATATGAGGTCCTTGAAGGCAGGTTTTCCTTCATGTCCCTAACACCTAGCTCAGTTCTTGGCACATATGCAGTCCTTCCTTCAGTTAATAATATAATAACTAGCATTTACATAGTTCTTTGCATTCTATACCTCTTATCATCTCCCCTCTTTCCCTTTTCTCCCTGTATATTTCATTTGATCTTCACAACAACCTTGAGATAGGTACAGTTATTATCCCCATTTTACAGATGAAGAGAGGAAACTTAGGATGAGAGGTTAACTGAGTCCAGGGTCATATAACTAAGTCTTAGGCAGAATTTGAACTTGGGTCTTCCTGACTCCAAAACTTGCCCTCTCTTCACTCTACCTCCTAGCTGCCATTGATTAATTGACTGACTGCTCCAGGCTGTGTGGAAAAAAGGAAATGGAGGCAGATAGTGGGCTCTCTGTAGCTGGTGTGCTGTTCAGAGCGCACGGCCCAGCTGTGGCTGAGGTCGCCTTTGACCTCTGAGCACCGATCCCTTTTCTCCTCCCTTCTCAGGGGGACTTTGCGCAGGCCTCGCAGAACCTGTGGCTGGCCCTCCGCGCCCTTGGCCGGCCTCTGCCCACCTCCCATTTGGACCTGGCCTGCAGTCTCCTCTGGAATCTCATCCGCCACTTCCTTCAGCGTCTCTGGGTAGGACGTTGGCTGGCCGGCCGGGCTGGGGGCCTCCTGCGTGATCGGGAGCTGCAGGCAGATGTCAGAGCTAGCTCCAGGGACGCAGCCCTCGTCTACCATAAGTTACACCAGCTGCATATGACAGGTGGGCCCGGTGGGGAGGCCAGGGGAGGGGCAGTGGCTGTCCTTTTCTGTGAGAGCTCTGACCTTTACGCCCAGCACTGCCCCACTGCTGCTTGCCCAGCCCTTCTCCCCCTGGCCCATCCCATCTGACTTAGGCACCAGGTCCCTTCAAATGCAGGCGTTGAGCTTGGGGAGGGGGGTGGGTCTGCCTGAGTCAAGGCAAGGACCACTGGTTTCACCTGGCTCCTGTCCATCTGATTCCCACCGCCCTCTGGCCCAATAGGGAAGTACACCAGCGGTCACTTCGCTGCCATCAACCTGGCATTGAATGCCCTCAACTTGGCCGAGTGTGCGGGCAGTTCCATCTCCGTGGCAACCTTAGCCGAGATATATGTGGCTGTCGCACTCCGGGTCAAGACGAGTTTTCCTCGGGCCCTCCATTTCCTGACGGTAAGGGGCCAGTGCCAGGCAGCAGAGACTGGTTCTCATTCCCCTTCCCCACCCCTGACTGGGCCCGGACCCCCAGATGGATTCCAGGACTGGGGAAGTGGATTAGGACTCCGTCTGTGAGCCTGGCCTTCCTTGGCTGTGTTATCTTCCTACTGTGATGATGCTGACCAGCATGCACCGTGCGCCGGGCTTTTACAGACCTCTTTTTCAGTTGCTCCTTCGCAAAATCAGAAGGGGCTTCCTTTGGGGTCAGAACTGGGAGGGTCCCCAGCACGAGTGGGGCCCAGGCCAGTGATCTAACCAACTTATGTCACTGCTCTCTCCTCCTCACCCGTAGCGCTTCTTCCTGAGTAGTGCCCGCCAGGTGTGCCTCGCCCAGAGTGGCACCATGCCCCCTGCCATGCAGTGGCTTTGCCATCCTGTGGGGCATCGCTTCTTTGTGGACGGGGACTGGACAGTGAGGAGCACCCCCAGGGAGAGTCTCTACAGCTCCCCCGGGAACCCAGGTAACTCCTCCCTTCTTCTTCCTTCCCATTTGTCCTGATCTTCTTTCCTCCCCTCCTTTTTCTCCACCTTCTTTCTCCTCCCCTACTTCCTCTCCTTTCTCATTCTTTCCTTCTTCCCTTCATCTTTCCCCTTTCCCTTCCCTCTTTTTTCTATTAACTTAATCAGCAAACACAAACATTTCAGTAGTGTAATAACAACAGCTAGCATTTACAGTGTTGTAAATTTTGCGATATACAAAGAAAAAGAAATAGCATGTATAAACTGCACTTCTGTTCTGTACAAATCTTAATTTAATCAATAAACATTTATTAAGCACCTACCATGTCCCAAAAAGAGGCATGTTAAACAAAAATTAAACAAATTACCCTGTTGTTTTGTTCCCCTTTTAAACATCGTTTTTCATATGCATTTTTAAAAAATTATATTTATGATCTTTTTTGTATCTCTGTCATCATCTGTTAACTTTTCCTTCCCTTCCCTGCTCCCAGCTCTCCCTTGTAACAAATAATTATGGTTGAGCAAAACCAGTCAACACACTGGCCGTGCTGAAAATGGCGGCCTTCTTCTCATCCCCCGTCTGCCAGGGAGGTGGGCATGGATGTATGCAGGGATAGATGTGGGCAAGATGACCTCTTTCCCTTTTTTCCCTCAATCACAGAGACCTGGAACTTACTCATATCCCCAAACCTGAGGCTGCAGAGTTCAGACATTTTGTGAAGTTGCTTTTTTTTTTTTTTAACATTATTGTGACTGTCTTGTAAAATGTTCTCTTGATTCTGCTCGGTTCACTCTGTATCTGTTCATAAAACTCCTCCCCCCCCCCAACCAAGTTTCTCTGAATCTGTCGTATTTGTCTTTTCTTAGAAAGCAGTAATATTCTATTACATCCTCACATCACATTTCCCAACTGATGGGCACCGTTTTGATTTAGCTTTTTGCTACAACAAAGAGGGTTAAAACGGATAAGTATTTTTATAGATGAGATCTTTTCCTTCTGTCTGTGACTTCCTTGGGGTATATGCCTACCGGGGACACCATCGGGTCAAAGGGTGCCCATATTTTAGTGCCTTTTTGTGGTATAGTTACAAGTCGTTTTCCAGAATGGTTGGACCAGTTCACAGCCCTACCAACAATGCATCAGTTTGCTTGTCTTTCCAGATCCCCGCCAGCAACTTTCCCCTTTTGTCATCTTTGTCATTCTGATGAATAGGAGACAGAACCTCCAAGTTGCTTTAATTTGTTTAACTGTAAATCTTAATTTTAGATGTGCATTCTGAGGTAGACCCACTGCTTTAATTTTCATTTCTCTCATTAGTGATTCCCCACTCCCCCCTTACTCTTCCTTATCCTTCAGTTCTTTCCCCCCTTTCTCTTAAATTTCTCAAGTTTCTGAAACCTTGCCTTTTCCACCCAACTGTCATCCCAAAGGCCAAAGGATGGGTGGGATAACTGAAGCACCACCCTGCTATGGTTCCTTCCACCTGTCCTCAGTAGGCATGTATTTTCCTCCCTATGCCTACTCTCCTCCACCCTGGAGCAGCAGTTGTCTAAAGGGGATCTCAGGGTCTCCCACATCCTCGCTTTGTCCCAGGGGTGGTTCTTCTGAGCTCCGATGCCTGTTTGGGGTGGGAGGTGGCTCATGCCTCTCTCTTTCTGGAACAGTGGATCCCCTGACCCAGGTGACACAGCTGTTTCGGGAACATCTGTTGGAGAAAGCCCTGGGCTGCGTGGCCAAGCCTGAACAGACCCTGGCTTCGGCCGATGGGGACAGGTGAGAGTATAAAGCCAAAGAGAGCCCCGCCTCTAGCCTTTCACCTGTCTAGCTTCCCAGCGTCACCTCATCGCTCTAGCCTCACCCTCCGTTGCTCCAGCCTTCCTATCCCTTCTGGCTCTTTATTCTTCTCCGGCTTTGCCATCCTTCTAGTATCCTCCCCTCCGGTCCCAGCCAGCTCCCCCCACCGTTCTATCCACCGTCCCTCTCACACTCCCCCTATCCCGGGCAGAGCCAGTCCATTAATTCTGAAGACTCAGCTTGGAACTTTCTCAACCTGCCATAGCTTCATTGAGTCTCTACTGTGTAAAGTGCTTCAAGCATTAACAGAAGTATAACAGAAATAATTACATTTGTGTTTCCTACTTTTCAAAGCACATTCATATCTCAGATACGGAGGCAGCTAGGGCCAGGGTGGTCATGTCCTGACCGACGGGTGGGGGAGCTGAAGCCACGGGGGAAGAGGCATCTTGCCCCAGATCGCATAGTGAGTTAGTTACAGAGCCATCTCTGAGCTCCAGGAGTTGGGGGGCCTCTTGGTGTTTCCCACTGGGCATACTTCTCCCATTGACATGCAGCTGCACTCCTTCATGGGCCTCCCTCCCCTGCTCTACAGGGAGTTCTCTGATGCCCTTGAGTACCTGCAGCTGCTGAATGGCTGCTCTGATGCTGCCGGAGCCCCTGCCCTCAACTTCTCTATCAGTTCAAGCATGGCCACTACCACTGGTAAGCCTTTTGCTCCCCTCTCTATGGCTGGGGTGGAGAATGGGTGCATGGGTCTTTGGGAGTCACATTTTTCTGTGCTTGGTTAGGACAGACCACCCAAGTTACCTGCACCCAGAGAAAGTCCTCTTCCGTCTCCTCACATTTCACATTCCACCCTCAGCTGGGAAAGGGAGAGGAGTCACCACCGACAGTGGAGAACAGTCTGTCTCCTCTTCCCTCCCGTAGGTACTGACCTCGTGGCCAAGTGGTGGGCGTCCCTCATTACGGTGGTCATTCACTGGCTCCAGCGGGATGATGAGGGGGCAGAGTCTCTCTACCCCATGGTGGAGTACATGCCCAAAGTCCTACAGGCTTCTGAGTGAGTGCCCTGGGGCCTTTTGTGGGAGAAAGGGGAAAGATGGTTTGCCCCTGGGTCAGGGTTTCCAGTACATGCTACATGTGAGAATGCAGTGAAGATTTCACCTTCTATAATGAAGCCAGACCCTTTGGACACAATTTTTGGGACTCGTGGATGGGACAACCTTCCCAAGCCAGACTGTAAAGCATGGTGCCCAGAACCCAGGGTGATACAGTCTCCCCAGGGTACCTGAACCAATACTTGGGGGCCTAAGGCATGAAGTGGTGTCCAGAGGCTGACAAGAGGTTCAAGGCCAAAGGCTCGGGGCACAGCTTCTATTTCCCCTCCAGGAAGGTTACCCTTAACCAGGCTTCAGTGCACCCCCTTATCCAGGCCCTCAGATATACGTCCATTGTCCCCTTAGGGTATTCTGCTCCAAGAAGCCTCCCTAGCTTTGAAGTGGGAGGGAGCTCCGTCTGGTAGCGTTAAGGGCTGAGCCCAGCGGGTCAGGGAGGCTCGGGCTGCGAGTGACCTTGGAAGCCCTTCACCCACACAGGAAGCCCCTGCCTCGGGCAGCCCTGCATTCCTTCAAGGCAGCGAGGACGCTTCTGGGGAAGCAGAAGCAGGAGCTCGGTCAGGCCAGCCTGAGCCAATGCGAAAAGGCCAGCAGCTACCTCCGGGACAGCCTGACCACGGGACCCTCTGCAGCCACTGCCGGCGCTTCTATTGACAAGGTAACGGCACCCCACCCCCTCCGGTGCTGTGGGGGAACATGAGAAGGTTGAGATGAGATGCAGGGGACGGAGCACTGACTGTGGGTACCAGGAGACCTGAGGTCTGGACCTGCTCCTGCTCCTGCTCCTGAATGAGGGTCGTGGAGTAGACGGTCCCTGGAGAGCTTCTACCAGCTCTGGTGTCCTCCGGTTCTCCCAGAGGTTGGGAGTCAGGCGTGAGAAGCCCCCAGCTACCAGGTCTGGGGTGGGCATTGGCTTCTAGGTTTGACCCACTAACAACTGGTCAGTGGCCAGGTCCAGCTGGCCCTGCCTGGAGCTCTCTCCCAAGGCCCGAAGGGCACAGGATTGCTGGGTCTGGAGGCCTGGAGATGAATGGAGGCTGCCCCTGTGGTGCAGCCCCTGGCCGCGTGGGCACCAGGCCCTGAGGCATGGGGGGAAGGGAAGTGACCCCGGCCCACTCACCTGGACCCCCATCTGCCATGCAGGCCATCCAGCTCCTCCTGTGTGATCTGCTCCTGGTGACACGCACCAGCCTGTGGCAGCAGCAGGTGGGCGCTGCCCAGCCCTCCAGCTGTGGCTACCAGGCCTCTGCCCTGGAACTCAGAGGCTTCCAGCAGGACCTCAGCAGTCTTCGGCGTTTGGCGCAGTCCTTCCGGCCTGCCATGAGAAGGGTGAGTTGCCCCAGCCCCAGACCTCCAGCTAAACTCTGACAGGCTTCCTAGGACCAGTGTTTCTTCCCGTTCCATCCTCAGGGTATTTGGTTGTTTGTCCACAGCCAAATGAAAATGGGCGGACCACTCTCTCAGTTAAGTTCTGTCTAATCAGTCATGACTCCTGTTTACCTGGCACAGCCAAACACTGTGTCAGACAGAGGAGAGAAGTTCTAGTCACTGCCTTTAGGGAATTCAGTCTAGAATGGAAACCTAGCACTCACCCATGTGAAAGTGAGTTATACAAGTAGCTTATGATTCCATGATGTATCATCCTATCGGCATTAAGTGTGGGGGGAGGTCAGAGGAGGGAGAGGCCAGAGTGGGCAGGAGTATCCCAAGAGGGTCAGAGGAGGAAGGAAGGAAACAAGCATTTATTAAGCACCTACAGTGTACAAGGCTCTGTGCTAAACACTTCACAAATGTTATATATTTTGATCCTCACAACAACCTAGGACGTACGTGCTATTATGATTCCCATTTTACAGTTGAAGAAACAGGCAGACAGAGGTGAAGTGCCTTGCCCAGGGTCACACAGCTAGTAAGTGGCTGAGGCCAGATTTGAACCACAGGTCTTACTGACTTCAAGCCCAGTGCTCTTTCCACCCCACCCTGGCTGCCTCGGAAGGAAGACGAGGTCAGTGAGAGCATGAGTATCCAAGCAGGTCAGAGGAGGCCTTCGTGGAGGAGCCAGGGCTACAGCTGGTTCTGAAAGAGTGAGGGGTGGAGGAAGTCTATCGTACCCGACCCTGGGTACGATAGGGAAGGAGAGAGGGGAGATAATAGAACTGGGGAACAAGAAGGATCCCTGTCTTCAGGGAATTTATAGACTTACTGGGGAGACAGAACATGGCGAAGGCGGAGGAGTGCTGGGTACCAGCTTTCCAAGTGGATACACAAGTGCTAAATGACTAAGAAAGGCTTTGGGGAGGAGGGGGTGGTATCAAGCCAGGAAGGATTAGGAAATAACTCATCGGCCTGATAGACGACTTTCGGGGAGACTGTCCCTCCTCACAGTGCCTTGCTGGCTATTGATGGGAGCGTATGAGAGCTCCGAGGGTCCTGTGGGTATGGGCAGGAGGACCCCTTTCAAGAGCCTCGACTTTTGCTTTTTTTTAGGTCTTCTTGCATGAAGCTACAGCCCGGCTGATGGCTGGAGCCAGCCCCACTCGGACTCACCAACTCCTGGACCGAAGCCTGAGGAGAAGGGCAGCCCCGAGCAACAAAGGATGTGAGTAGGGGAGCAGGACTGGATGGAAAACTGGGCCAAGAACCCTCCTTTCCCTTAGGGAATAAGCTGTCCTCTTCTAGAAAAGGTGGCTAGATGAACCAGTGAATAGAACACTGGACCTGGAGTCAGGAGACCCGAATTCAAATCCAGCCACGGACATTTACTAACTGTATGACCCTGGGCAAGTTCCTTAACTTCTGTCTGCCTCAGTTTCCTCATCTGTAAAATGATGATAAAAACAACCAAGGTTGTTGTGAGGCTCAAATTGAGATTATATTTGTAAAAGAACTTGGCACAATGCCTAGTGGGCATTTAATAAATGCTTTTTTCCCTTTCCTGTACTCATGTCCTAACTTGGGAATCTCACCTAAACGTCCCTTAACACTCTTCTAGTAAAAGTTACCATTAGTGAGACCAGGGTGCTATTGTGGGAATATTATGTGTCATTGTTGTTGAGTCGTTTCAGTTGTATTCAACTCTTTGTGATCCCATTTGGGGTTTTCTTGGCAAAGATACTGGAGTGGTTTGCCACTTCCTTTTCTAGCTCATTTTCCAGATGAGGAAACGGAGGCAAACAGGGTGAAGTGACTTGCCCAGGGCCATACAGTTAGAAAATGTCTGAGACCAGATTTGAACTCAGGAATATTATATTTTGTCAGTGTTCAGGTCCCATACCCTTTTTGTGTACAATATGTTTAAAGTGCACTGTGAGGCTGAATACAGGAAAAATAGGTGTGTGTGTGGGGGGAGGTATGTACTCTGCTGGTGACAGGGTAGGATGTTGCACCCTGCTGTCTGCCGATCCTAGATCCCCAGTCCCAAGCCCAGGTGTCACTCTGATCCCTCCTCCTTCCCCTGCAGCAGGTGAGCTGGAGACTCGGCCCACTCAGAGAGAACATGCAGAGGCCCTGCTGCTTGCCTGCTGCTATCTGCCCCCAACCTTCCTGTCAGCACCGGGCCAACGAGTGGGAATGCTGGCTGAGGCGGCCCGAACCCTGGAGAAGCTAGGAGACAAGAGGATGCTGCATGACTGCCAGCAGATGATTATCAGGCTGGGCAGCGGCACCACCGTTACCTCTGGGTAGCTGGGCCTCTCAGCCTCTCCAGAACCCCAGCCAGATGACTCTGTCCCAGACCACCCAGACCCCCCCTGAAACTTTCAACCATCCAGGACCACCCTGGGAGACCTCTCTGCTTGCTTGGGTCCTAGTCAGGGACTAGGACTTAGAACCTTGTTGTCATGGCAATGTCACCAAGGCCCCTGGTAACTTGGGTTCCAGAGAAATAGCAGGACATGGAAGATGGTGGGCAAGGTGACCTCTTTCCCTTCTCTTCCTCAGTCACAGACCTGGAAGCCTCTCCCCATCCACCAGCCTGATACCAAGAGGAGCCAGCATGACACCAGACTCTTTATCATTCAAAACTGCCTTTCCCCACCCCTAACCTTGAGAAGCCATGGAGTATAATGGGAGAAAAAACCAGATTTAGAGTCAGGATCAAGGTTCAAATCCCAACCCTGACCCTCTGAGCCCCAATTTTCTTGGGGTTGGACTAGATAACCTTTCCAATTCTATGATCCTATCAAAGAAAACAGGTCCTGGACACACCCCGATGGGGTTCCTTGAGGGGGGAATAGTGTGTGAATTCTGTTTGGGTGATTTACTCCCCCCTCGATGGAAAAGGCTGTAGCAATATCCTTCCCTTCCCCCCTCCCTCCCATCTAATCACTGGGTAATTTGATGCCTGTGATTTATTGTGTTTAATGGGCCAAGGCTAATGAGAACTTTGCCTTTTCTTTGGTAATCAACCCTCAGATAGCGAGTAAGGCGGGGGTGCAGGTGAAAGGCTGGGGAAAGAGAGGAGGTGGTGGTGGTGGTGGTTTTCCCAAAGGACTTACTGGCCTGCCCTCCATCCCATCATGGGAAGCAGCAAGATTGTTGGATGAGATGCTGCTGACCTCTGGTGGTCCCTTGGGAGATTGCAAGGGCTATGTAGGTACCCCCTCAGGCAAGGCCCATATTCAGTGGAGCGAGAACTGGTCTCAAAGCCAGGAAGACTTAGGTTCAAGTGCTACCTTTGATAGATCCTGGCTCAGTGCTCTAGGCAATTCTCCATGGCCTCTGGAAGTTTCCTATGTCGATAAAATCACAGGCGCCACTCCAAATGGCTGCTTAAAATCTCCATGGAACCAAATACTGTATCGTGTCCCACACCCCCTTCCCCTTTCTGAATTGACTTTTTGGGGGAGGGGAAATCAGTTGTCCTGGAGCAGATGTCCTTGACCACCAGGAGCAGAGGGAGGCTTGAAGAAAAGGCCCTTCATGTAGGAGAAGAGCTCCTGCTGTCCATAGGTCTGTTTGCCCTCTCCAGTGTTCTCTGGGTGTCCTCTCACATGCCAAAATAATGATAGGGCTGGTGGCCCTCTCAGCCTCCGACTCTCTTTCTTCCATGCCCCCCCCACTCCATTCTCCCCAAGAGGAGCTTACCCCTGTACACCCTTACAACCAGGGGTTGGGGTTGCCCTCCAGATTTCTCTGGTCTTTTTAGGAGGGGAGGTGGGTCCCTGCTCTCAGGCCACTTTGGGCTCTAGTCAGCAGCCCCCCGAGGGTCACACTACTGGAAGAAGAGGAGGGAGCAGGTTCAGGGCTGTGTGGCTGACCCTGTACATATGTATATATTGTCACTGCATCTCCTCGCCACTGCACTAGCCTCCCTAAAGTCTTGGGAGACACCTGTACTACTTTTTTCCTTTGCAAACTTTTATTTTCATAGTGTGAGAAGAGTTTTGTACAGAAAATTAAAAGGAGAAATTATTTATAATTTGGGTTCAATTTTTGAGTAAGACTATGCCCCGTAGTGGAAAGGGCCCTAGGATGGCAGTCATTAGACCTGGGTTTCGTCACTCACTGGCTACATCAGTCTTAGACATATCTCCGTGGGCCTCAGCTTCCTCATCTGTAAAGTGAAGGGGCTGGTCTAGGTCATCTCAATGGTCCCTTCCAGTCTGTTGTTTTTGGACTAATCTGGACTCCTGTAAGTGGGTTAATGTGAGTCAGAGAAGACTCCTGCATCCATTCAACCTTCCCCAGTACTTCAAAAAAACATCCAGACCCCAAGGAAGAGGGATGCACCCCAGGAGACTTCTGAATTTCAGTGTCCTCGGGATATCTTTATAGGGCAGGCAGGAAACCCAACAGCACAGAGCAGAACAGAGGAAGGGAGGGAATAATTATTGCCTGAGTCCTGGGTGAGTGGGGAAACAGAGGAATTGGCAAGGGTCTCTCATAGTTCCTGCAGCTTTGTGTCCCCTTCCCTGAGACCCCTACCCCAGCAATGTGGAATATATATCTCCTCCTGTACCAAAGGCTAAACCAGCATAGACCTGGAAAGCTAGCCTTTTGCCCCTAAATCCTCCCAGTTTCTTCTCTAGTTAGGCAGCAAGAGAACTTCACTGTGTGAGGGAAACTAAGAAAACCTTGGTGGTGGGCTGGGTATTATCAGAAGAGCTTCCTACGGTCCATCGGTACTGGATGGTAGGGATGGTTCTGGCCTTGAGTGACCAAAGGTTGCTGGGGCTGTGGAGGGAACCCAGGGCAGGGCTGGGGTGGGAGATTACTCCCCTGTCTTAGCACTCAACCCCACACCAGGGTAGCAGCAATCTTTCTTGTGCTTGGATGGGTAGGTTTTAGGGGGTAGGGCCTCCAAACCCTGCCAGCTACACAGGAATTCTTGGGGGGGGGGAAGGGTGTCTCTCCATTTCCAAGTCCTGGATCTTGATCAGCTTCTACCCTCTTCCCACATGTACCCAGGCTCAGGGGCTACAGAAGCCAGAAGGGACTTGGGATCACAGTGGGACAAGATCACACTGGGGCAATGGGCCCCCATGAGTTCTACCATGGATGCCTTCTAGAAATGGGAAGAGGCGGCAATGTGCCTTTCTCCCCTACCGCCTGCCAACTGCGTGACATGTGTCGTCCTTGGTTCTCAATGTGCTGGTACTCCTGGTCTCTGGGCCTTACCAACTAGAGATAAATTTAACCTCTGTTGCCCCTCCCCCCCTCCCCCAACTCTTCCTTCCACCATCTTTCTATCAGGAAGAAGGGAGGAGAGAGGTTAGAGGCCACAACTCCATGCCCGAAGACTTCCAAAACAATTGTTGTATCTTTATTGACGGTTTTTTTTTTAATGCAATGACCTGTTTTTTTTTCTTTTTTTTACTCTTAAGGAAAATAAACATCTTTTAGAAACAGCTCGTTAACACACAATCTTCAGTGTGAAGCAATATACTAATAAGAACACTAGTCTTAACATTTACAGTCTTCATATATATTATATATATGTATATGTATACATATATATACACTATATAATGAGGCAATATATAATACACACGGTTTACCATTTTACAGTCATATGTACATGATGCCACTAAGACAGTTGGGAGCTAAGTGAGGCGCCCCCCAGTGGCCCTGGAAGGCCATCTCCAGAGTCCAAAGTGAGCTTGTCAGCCAGGTTACCTGGGCAGGCAGGGACCTGACCTAGCTAAGTGGAGGTGATAAACGGAGCAGAGGACCACAGACAGACAGACAGACAGATGCAATAGGCAGGGACTTGCTTGTCTGGGCTTCCTGACTGGGCTATTTTTGGGGGGGTCTCCGTTACACTATGCCAGCTTCCCCTCTAAAGGCCCAGCTCCTGTGCAGGGGAGGGCATCCTAGGGAGAGGATTTAGGAGGGAGGGGGTGTTGGACAGGAGACCTAAGGACTGAGGTTGCTGCTTGCAGTGGAACCAATGTGGTGAAACAAAAGCGAGCACGTTTCAAACATATATACATTATATATAACATATATATATAGAACAGTACATATATATTTTATACACATGATATATCTGTTTTTCGGCTGCGTGGTTCATAGCTGTCTGCCGTCCCACTGGCTCTCCTGAGAATGAGTCCCCATCACACACAGACTCCAGATATACATTGTCGAGCCAAACACACACATGCGTATATAGCACTATGAAGGTGAACAGCTATATATAAATGTGTGTTGCATTATCACTAGTGTGTGTGTACATATATATATACACGTGTATATATATACACAGAAACCCCACCCCACCCCCAACCTTATTCTGATCAAGCTATTCCAAATGGACCAGCTTCTCTTTGCAGATTCTTCCCACCATCCTTTGGGGGTCTGGGATGGGGCTGGACCCGGGGTTGGTTCTGCCAGCGGAAGGGGTACAACACACAGAAGCAAGGCTAAGAGCTGAGTCACATGAGCAGAAGACGGGAAATCCATGAAAACCAGATAGCTCAGCATTAAGGGAGCTAAAACGGGGAACAGGCACCTCAGGGAGGGATCACTAGGACAGCCAACACGGGAGAAGCAGCTACACAGGCTCTACCTGGGCCTGGCTATGTCTCCTGACCCTGGAGTCACTGATTGCTGTCTGATGCCATCAGGAGGAGGCAGATGAGTGACAGATTCCGTGGGGAGGGTGGAGGGCCAAGGAATCACAGGGGATTGAGCTGGGAAGGACCTTAGAAAAATCACAGTACAACCCCATCACTTTACAGATGAGGAAACTGAGTCAGAGAGTGACTTGCCCGAGTCACACAGGGAGCGAGAAGGGTCTCTGATCAAGCCTCACTAGGAAAGACTGACTTAAAAACAGATTCTCTTCCCTAGCTGAAGACCTGGGAGTGCTGGGATCCTCCTTCATCAAGCCAGGCTCTATAGAGACCTGGAAACCAGCCTGCTAGGACAAGCTGTTCCAGAGGCTTCGATTCATTAATGTAAAAGCTTCGGGCTGCATCTCCAGCTAAAGGTCCCCCACCCCTTCAAGCTGAAGGCTAGAGGATTCTCCTCTGCCACCGGTCCTTCCAATGGCTCCTCGCTCCACCTGCTGCCAGGCATGTATACCTGGATAGGGCTCTGCCCCTGGGTTATATTTGGGAGCCCAGGGATTTCCAAGGACTTTACATTTCTTCAACTAAACTAACATAACCAGGGTTTGCACTGGGCATGCAAAAAGTTGCCTTCTTCCAACCCCGCTTACACTAAAACACCTTCCTCCAAATAGTAGCAGGCACCTGGGTGGACCAGATCCGTTCTACCGTTACCCAAAAAGAATATGCTGGGCAGGAAAGGGAAAGTACCATGTGGACAGAATTGATGGGGGACCCCCTCTGGGATTTAGAAATTACATGTGTTCTAGTCCAGCTCACACCAGCCTTGTTTTACACCCCCTCCTCTTCATCTGCCAGGTGGATGAGGTGACTGAGGGAAAAGTGGACAGTCCCTTTAGGCCACTAGCTCCAAATTCTGCACTGTCCCTCTGGCCACCCCCTCGGCTGGCAATGGTCTTTACTTCTCTAGGACTGAACATGGATGCAGCTTACCAGGAAAGAAGAGTCCAGGGCTATTTCTCCATCGAGGGCCGGTGGGACCCATACTCAGCAGGGGCTGCAGTGCAGTTGGGCAGGGAGCATGGGCAAAGTCAGACCTGGCCTCTTAGGCATCCAAGCATCAGGCCATACCCGTCAGATGCTGGTAGGGTCAGGAGCGGGCAAGAGAGAGTTGGGAAAAGGATCTAAGTTTGACACAAAGTAACCTCACTGCTCCACTCCTAGACCCTGTCCCCACTCCCTGTTCCATCACCTGTCCCTGTGCAACCTACACTGTTACCTGGTAAGAGAGGTCTAAGAATACTTTCCTACCAAGGTAGAGATAAGGTATAGGGACTGTCTTGTCTGATGGATCCCAAATCCACAAATCCAGGGCCTGGATCCTACTGGTCAGCAAACCTGTGTCAGCTCTGAGGAGTGGTTCTTTGCAGGGAGAAGACCCAAGAGTTGGACGGGACGCTAGCCATAAGCAGATGAGAACATTCAGAAGGAAAGGGCCTCTGGTTAGGTCAGCAGATCAAGGGGGAGGAAGGGTCCTGTTCCTCTTTTCCTTGCCGATCTGGGTGGTCCTGGTCACAGCTCCAGGTGAGAATTGGGCCCAAGGCTTGACACCATCTCCTGTCCAGATGGAGGAGGTAAGACCCAGGAGGGTGGATTACAACAGCTGCCTCTGGAAGAAAAGCCCCACACAGGGTCACAACCAGCATCAGCAAGAGCCCCAGAGAGGGGTTCCCCAAGGGGAGTCCCCACCCCCCTCGCTACCACCTGTGACCCAACAATTTGCCTGGCCTGAGAGCTATCTCCCTCCTTTAGACCTCCCTGAGGGGCAGCCAGCCCCTCCCCAATCCAAGAGCTCCCTTCAATTCTCATATCCTGCCGGGGTCTCCCTCCCTCCCAACCCTATTTCTTGATGAAGTGCTCCCTATATTCCATCTTCCCTGGCCCACTCCTGTCTGACCTCCCACTGGGTTCCTGCAGACAGTTACACATAGCAATCACCCCATCTTTCTCCCCAGTGCCTGGCATCCTCCTGCAAAGAAGGCCCAGCCCCCGCTCCTGCTCTCCAGCCCTTTCTCTTCAGACTTCTTCCCCTTAGATTCGCCTGATTTATAAGGAAATACTCATGATCATCATATGTCAGCCTGCCCTGATCTCTCTGATTTATTGCAAATAATAAGATGTGCACACTGTCGGTGGCTGCAGCAGGGAGATGAGACAGGCAGAGACATCTCTGAGCACTGGTTAAATTAACAGGTCCCCAGGATGAGGTCAACATTCAGAACTGGACAGGCCTGAGCTGGGAGACAAAGCTGACTTGTGATGGGCTGGGACTCCTCGGGACGTAGGAACAGGCACCCCCCCAGACAAGGGACACCCCCCTCCCCCACTGCACAAGCACTGCTAGAGG